CCGATTGACCCCAGCTGGGATCTGGCCCCATTGACTCCAATGGAGCTACAGCCCATTGACCCCAGCTGGAATCTGGCCCCATTGACTCCAATGGAACTACGGCTGATTGACCCCAGCTGGGAGCTGGCCACATTTATATTCCAAATAAGGAAATTTTTGAGGAGCAGAAAACCTAGAAAAAAGCCCTCATTTCAGGTCAAACAAATTGTTTCATTTAGATCCAGTATTTTATGTGATCTTATCATATTTCATTGTGATTTGAAGCACATCTGTAACGTTTTAAACTTGTTTTGAAAACAAAAGGAAAGGAAATTTCAAAAGGAAACATTTCAAATAGAACAAAAATCAAGCCATTGTGTCCCAGTGTTTTCAAAATGCAAAGTTTTCACTTTTTTCGGAATATTTTTTTCTGAAATGAATGAAAACTCTCTTAATTTGTGGGACACTTTGGTGTTGTTGCAGCTGTGTTTTTCATTACAAATTGTTTTGGTTGAAAGATTTCCCCCAGGGAAGCCAAAGACCCTTGTCAGCCCATTAACGAGGTCTCCTTAAAGAGCTTCCACCCCCTCCCAAAGCTGAGTCCAAGCTTAACCCCTACCCTCTACACCCAGCACCCCATACTTTGGGGGGTCTTGATGGTGCCCCATCCCGACACACTGCATCGTGTTCCAGGAGAGGGACAACGGGTAGCCAGGTTGATTGTGTTCACGTAGTTGTTGAGTTGAGCAGGCTCATCCAACTCCAGAAGCATGAAGTCGTTGTCACGAGGATGAAGGTTATACCCGGGGTTCACGAAGAAGTTGCGGATTCTTCGTATCTGTTCTGTGCCTTCCTTCGCCCGGAGATTATAATCCCCCAGATGCACCTGCACGTTGCTGCATGAGAGAGGACAAAGGAAGAGATCAATGGGCTGCTATTCAAAGGCCATAGCAGATAAGCAACTACAGTTGGGCCTTGTCATGAACATACAACTAAGGGTAGCATAAAATCCCTCCTGTACCTGTAAAGGGTTAAGAAGCTCAAATAACCGGTTGGCACCTGACCAAAAGGACCAATAAGGGGAGAAGATACTTTCAAATCTGTGGGGGAAGGTTTTTGCTTTGTGCTCTTGGTGTTGTTCTCTCGGAGACAAAGAGAGAGACCAAGCAAGTAATCCAGCTCCTACTGAAATGATACATCTAATATTACAGAAATAGTAAGTAATAGCAAGGAAATGCGTTAGATTATCTTTTGTTTTAGCTTGTGAATTTTCCCTATGCTAAGAGGGAGGTTTATTCCTGTTTTTTTGTAACTTTAAAGTTTTGCCTAGAGGGGAATCCTCTGTATTTTAAAGCTTATTACCCTGTAAAATTACCTTCCATTCTGATTTTACAGTGGTGCTTCTTTTACTTTTTTCTTTATAATAAAGTTCTGATTTTAAGAATCTAATTGGGTTTTTAGTGTCCTAAAAACCCAAGAGTCTGGTCTGTGCTCACCTTGGTTACCTATTTGGTTGGTATATTATTCTCCAGCCTCCCCAGGAAAGGGGGTGAAGGGGCTTGGGGGGATATTTTGGGGGAAACAGGAACTCCAAGTGGTCCTTTTCCTGTCTAACTCACTTGGTGGTGGCAGCGATACCATCCCAGGGCAAGGAAATTGTGCCTTGGGGAAGTTTTTAACCTAAGCTGGTGGAATATAAACATAAACAATTTCATGCGGGTCCCCACATCTGTACCCCAGAGTTCAGAGTGGGGAAGGAACCCTGACAGGCCAATAATGGATTTTTGAAGCTGGAGTAGCCTCTGAGACCTTGTCAACTTAATTCTTCAAGAACTCAGTTCGACTCCAATCTCGTCCTTTCTCGTGTTTTACTTGGCATACTCTTAGACTGCTCAAAATTGGTCAGAGTCACATGTAAGGGGTAGGTATGGAACATGACACAAAGTATTGGTTACTTTATAAACAAGTTTAACCCTATTCTGACACATACGCCATCCATTTTACATGAAATCATGCACTTTATGGTTGGTCCAGTTATTTTCAAGCCCAATTCCTGTACATATCATGCTTTGTTCTCATGCCACATGTACACAGCATATTTTGTTAATTTTCTCTCTGTCTGCATAGCCACCTTCCACACATTCTGAGCCATTGTTGCTCACACTATTGTTTCTTGCACCTTGTTTTACGCATTGGATGAATACTGGTGAAATTGCCCCAAATTTGTGGGATAGTTTGGTGTTATGAAAGCTGCAGTTTTCACCAACATTCATGAATTCCTTGTCCTTGGCTTTTGGGTAGGGGGACTAGACATCCCAATATCAGGATTGTCCCAATATTAGGGTTTAGTTTATATATGCCACCATACTCCACTCAATGAAAAAAAGTATTCCAGTATTTCACACGTGCTATCTGCTCACCCTTCTTTTGGGACCCACTTAATGGTTATTTTTACTTTTGCCCTGTCCCGGGTTACTGCTTCTCGCTCATGCCAAGTTCAACCAACATGCGGCGCACTGAGAATTGCAAAGAGTAAACCTGGGTCAACGAGTTTCGAAATTTCCACCGAATCGAAAAGTTGAGGGAGAAAAGTTCAGCTCAGTCATCGCGAAACGTTTCTGAAAATCAACTAACAGGGCACTTTGAAAGAAAAAGTCTTGAATGGAGAAATCGAAACTTTTGAAAAATGTCGACATGCGACATTGTGATTTTTAAGGTATGATGTATACCTTTTAATTCGTTTTTCCAAATACAACAAAGATACCAGCTTCATCCTAACACACAAAGAGAGTTAGGACAAAAGCAGGGGCAGGGAAGGACACATCTATCTGCGTGACCTGCAGTAATTACAGAGCTCTAAAAAGGCGGCCTGAATTGGTTCCAATTTTTCTGGCACTTCCCTTCTGCGGAATGCCAGGTGTTCATTTCAGGGCTTAAATTCTCTTCGAGTATTTCCGGGAGCTCCCCACATCCCTCCTCCATTCTGGCTCCGGCTGAGCAGGGGGACTTGGGGCTTCAGCCCTACAGGAGGTGCCAGGACTCAGGGCTTCAGCCGTAGGGCCCCACTGGTGCCCTAAAACCAGCAGGGGGCAGCAGGTTGGAGTCAAGGGAAAATATTTCTTGGAGCTCTGCTCCAGTCCATCAGCTCCTAGAGCACCTGCACATGAACTGCCTGTGGGATGCTACAGGGGCTGATGCTGGCGCGCCTGGAGGTGAGTTTCCCTCTGCACACACCGCTGGGGAGGCCAATACTGCCATGCCGAGGCACATCTGTACAAGGATGCTGGAAAACCACAGCGGGTGCAGAGAAGAACCACAAAAATGATTTGAGGGCTGGAAAAAATGGAGGAGGATGGGGCTGGGAATTCGGGGGTGCAGAGGGAGACCTGGGCATAGATGGGGGACACCGAGGGAGAAGATAAGGACTGGGGACGTGGGTTATTCCCATGCATCTCCCTCTCTCCCTCCACCCCCGCATTGACTTACCTGATCCGTGTGCTGCAGTGCGCAGCAGTTAGCACCCACTTCGGGGCTATCAGGCTCCCGCCACAGTAGATGCGGCCATTCCTCAGGAGAGCCACCTGGTAGGGCCGCGAGCCAAAGAGGCAGTTTCTCCCCCCAACGACCCGGATTCCCTCTGTGTCTGAGGCTGCAATGGAGAGTGGCAAACATCAGCTGGAAGCAAGGCAGGGGGAGGGGCAAGCATTAGTTACATCTGTTCGGATTGGCCGGTGGCAGGATGACCATGAGCTGCTGCTCCCACGTGGCCATGCAAAAGCAGAAGGCGGTCTGTGGTTGTACCAGGTGAGGTATTTCCAGTAGGGATAGGGAGGCATTAATGCCACTGGGAAAACCTCGAGTTCCTGTCACCTGTGTTCCAGAAAGAGGAATTCCAACTGGAACTCATGTAGCGAAGGGGGCTAGGGTGATCAGGGGAATGAAGGGCAAATTTTACAAGGGGAGACAGAAAGAGCTTGGCTGGTTTAACCTAAAAGGAAGGCCGAGAGGGGATCTGATTGTTCTCTCTAAATGCGAGGGGGGAAATACTGGTGAGTGAGAAGAGTTAGAGACCAGCGTTGGCACAAGAACAAATAATGTGGCTGTGGATAAATCTAGGCTGAGACTTAGAAGAAGGTTACTAACCATCGGAGGAGAGAGGTTGTGGAACAGGAGCAGGTGGGCAAAAAACCTCATTAGTTTGAAGATGGAGCTCAATACGTTTCTATGACTGAGTTGCCCATGGTAGCAGGGACTGAACATGATGCCCCAGGAGGCCCCTTCCAGCCCTATGATCTTACGTTCATCTCTTCTAACAGGGATCAGGGCTGGAACCAGGAAGGATGCAGGTTTTCTATGTTGCAGGTTCTATGGAAACTGTTCACAATTTCAATTTTTTCCCCTGTGTTCTGTTACGGAGCGGAAACAATCCCCCCTGCCCTCCCCCCCACACACCTCTTGCAAATTTCCCATGAAAAATTTTTTTGGGGGGGAAATCCATTTCAGGTTGATCAGAAGAACTTTTTGCTTTTGACAAAATCATAGCGTCATAGATATATGGGGCTGGAAGGGACCTCAGGAGGTCGTCAAGTCCAGCCCCCTGTGCTGAGGCAGGACCCCCCAAAAATCTAGACCATCCTTGACAGGTGTTTGTCCAACCTGGTCCTAAAAACCTTCAATGACGGGGCTCCCACAAGCTGCCTTGGAAGCCGATGCCAGAATTTAACTATCCCGAGAGTTAGAAAGTTTTCCCTAATATCTACCCTAAATCTGCCTTGCTGCAGATTAACCCATTGCTTCTTGTCCTATCTTCAGCGGACATGGGGAACAATTGATTACCGGCCTCTTTATAACAGCCCTGAATGTGTGTGAAGACTGTTCTCAGGTTCCCTGTCAGTCGTCTTTTCTCAAGACTAAACATGCCTCGTTGTTTTAACCTTTCCTCACAAGGCAGGTTTTCTAAACCTCTGATCATTTTTGCTGGTCTCCTCTGGACTGTTTCCAACTGGACACAATTCTGCAGCCGAGGTCTCACCGTGCTGAGTAGAGCGGGACAATTACCTCCTGTTTCTTTCATATGACACTCCTGTTAATACACCCCAGAATGATATTAGCCTTGTTCAGATCTGCATCACACTGTTGGCTCATATTCCATTTGGGATCCATTATCATCCCCAGGTCCTTTTCAGCAGTGCTGCCACCTAGCCAGTTATTCCCCATTTTGTAGTTGCGCTTTGATTTTTCCTTCTGAAGTGAAGTACTTTGCAGTTGTCTTTACAGAATTTCATCTTGATGAGTTCAGACCAATTCTCTAATTTGTTGAGGTCATTTTGAAATCTAATTCTGTCCTCCAAAGTGCTTGCAGCCCCACCCAGCTTGGTGTCAGCCACACATTTTATCAGCGTACTCTCCACTCCATGATCCAAGTCATTAATGAAAATATTGAACAGTACCGGACCCAGGACTGAGCCCTGTAGGACATGGCTAGATATACCCACCCACTTTGGCAGTGAACCATTGATAACTACTCTTTGAGTACGGTCTTTCAGCCAGTTGTGCACCCACCTTCTAGTAATTTCATCTAGACCACCTTTTCCTAGTTTGCTTATGAGAATGTCATGGGGGACTATGTCAAAAACCTTTCTAAAATCAAGATATAGTTCATCCACTGCTTCCCCTCATCTACTAGGCCAGTAACCCTTTTAAAGAAGGAAAATAGGCTGGCTTGGCACAATTTGTTCTTGACAAATCCATGCTGGCTATTTCTATAGCCCTTTTGTCCTCCAGGAGCGTACAAATAGATTAATAATTGGTTGCAGTATCTTTCCAGGCATTGAAGTTAGGCTGCCTGGCCTGTAATTCCCCGGGTCCTCTTTGTTTCTCTTTTTAAAAAGAGGAATTATGTTTGCCCTTCTCCAGTCTTCTGGGACCTCACCTGTCTTCCAGAAGTTCTCAAAGATCATTGATAATGGTTCTGAGATTGCTTCAGTTCGTTCCTTAAGGACCCTAGGACGAATTTCATCAGGCCCTGCTGACTTGAATACATCTAACTTAGCTAAATATTCTTTAACCCGTTCTTTTCTTGTTTTGGCTTGAGTTCCTTCCCCTGGTTGTTAATATTAATTGTGTTGACTATCTGGACACCATTAACCTTTTTAGTGAAGACTGAAGCAAAATAGGCATTAAACAGCTCATCCTTCTTGATGTCATCTGTTATTAGCTCTCTTTCCCTGCCAAATAGAGGGCCTCCACTTTCCTTGGTCTTTCTTCTGCTCCTAATGTATTTAAAGAACCTCTTCTTATTGCTTTTTATATCCCTTGCTAACTCATTTTGTGCCTTAGGCTTGGTCCACACTGGGGCGGGGGATCGATCTAGGAAACGCAACTTCAGCTACGAGAATAGCGTAGCTGAAGTCGACGTTTCCTAGATCGAACTAAGTTTACTTACTGCGGGTCCACGCGGCACAGGCAAGCTCCCCCGTCGACAGCGCTTCCTCCTCTTGGCGAGCAGGAGTTCTGCAGTCGACGGGGGAGCGCTTCTGGGATCGATTTATCGTGTCCAGATGAGACGTGATAAATCAATCCCAGAAGATCGATCTCTACCTGCCGAATCAGGTGGGTAGTGTGGACCTAGCCTTAGAATTTCTGATTTTGTCCCTTCATGCTTGTGGCTATTCTTTTGTCCTCCTCCTTATAAATTTGTCCAGATTTCCACTTTTTGATTTTCAGGTCCTTAAATTGCTCCTGATGGAGCCCTATTGGCCTCTTCCTATTCTTCCTATCATTCCTTCTCATCCAGATAATTTGCAGTTGTGTCTTCAATATTATCTCCTTGAGAAACTGCCAGCTCGCCTGAACTCCTTCTTCCCTTAGATTTTCTTCCCGGGGGATTTTCCCATGCCTATGTGTCCTTAATGAATAAACTTTAAGATCCTGTTTTTTCCCCCTGAAGATAAATGGAAGCTTAACACACTTCCCTTTGAAGAGAACATTATCCACCACTGCAGGATTCTACAGCATAGTGTTTAGGTATGAAATGCATTTCCCATCCAGGATGTAGAGCATGTATCATTGACTCCAGTGTCTCTTCCTCTGCGCTTGCATCTGCTCATATGTCCCACATGCGAGACGACACATCATCTGAGTAGGTTGATATGGAGGTCAAACCTTGCAGCTGGTTTCAGGAGCCTGGTCTTGATGGATCTCATTTCAGATCTTGGACAAAGCATCATCATCCCACAATTATTTGACTTCCTGAAGCAAATTCAGTGGTGAGTTCTGAAGAGTGAGCGCTGGGATTTGAGATGGCCCGCAGCTTTTAAATGGGTTATTTTGATCATGAATGATCTATAGACACAGTGGGAGACGCTTCAAGACCAAGAAAAATGTCCCAGACTTTCCTTCTCAAGCGGTGTGCGTTTGTAGTCTGCATTTGTGAAGAATCCGGATGCTAATGCTACAAATCCCCAGCTGCAGGCGTTGCCCCTAGCCCATCTTGCAAATTTTTGCACAGAAAAGCAGAGTATTTACTCGTGGGGGAATCCTCGTCACTGGGCGCGAGCAGAATTCATGTGCCGCACCTAATTTTTTTCTGCGGAAAATATCTTCCGCCAGCAAGTTGCTGCAGTTCTGCCTTTTGCCCACCAAGAGCGCTGTGGCGCTAGAGCAGAGCAGCTACTCCTGAGCAAGCCCCAGCTGCGACAGGGAAGGGAAGAGGTTGCTTTCTTCACAGCACCGGTGGGAGCAGGTCAGGAGAGAGGAGATATGGGGGGAAAGACTGGGTGGACACATGGGGCTGCTGCGGGGAGGGGTCACAGACTGGAGTTCATAAGGGCTATTGGGGGAGGACAGTCTGGGGCAGGGCTGAATGGGATTGGAGGTGCAGGGCCACATGGGGGAAGAGGGGTGGCTGAGTGGGGGCACAGGGACACATGGGGACAGGAGGAAGGAGGTTCAGGGACACATGGGGGAAGAGGGGTGGCTGAGTGGGGGCACAGGGACACATGGGGAAGGGGGAGGGGGCTGCTGAGAGGGACAGATGGGGGCACAGGGACACATGGACATGGGGAGGGGGGTCAGGGACATATCGGGGTGGCTGAGTGGGATGGAGGGCCACCTGGGGATAGGGGCGTGGGGGTAGAGGGACACATGGGGACAGGGTCAGATGTGCCTGAACGAATGGGAGAGGCTAGGGGTCAGTCAGGGTCTGTCTGGGGGTGGCTCCCTAACAATCTGTCCTTGTCCCCCCAAAAAACCTGTTCCACATTTCTCTCACCCACACCCAGAAACCATACAGGTTCATTTGCAGGCTCCTTCCCTCTCTGTCAGTTCCTCCGTTACCCCTGACTCCCCCAAGCCTTTGCACTGCACCCCAGAGTAGCCCAGTGGTTAGGGTATGTACCTGGGATGTGGGAAACCCAGGTTCAAGTGTTTGCTCTGTCTGGTTCAGGCCAGGTCTCTCTCTTTCTATGGGGGGGAGGGATAGCTCAGTGGTTTGAGCATTGGCCTGCTAAACCCAGGCTTGTGAGCTCAATCCTTGAGGAGGCCATTTAGGGAACTAGGGTAAAAATCTGTCTGGGGATTGGTCCTGCTCTGAGCAGGGGGTTGGACTAGATGAACTCCTGAGGTCCCTTCCAACCCTGATATTCTATGAGGGGGCAGAAAATATGGTTCTGTATTGTAGTTTAAATGAGCTACTCAAAGATCAGGTTTCAGAGTAGCAGCCGTGTTAGTCTGTATCCGCAAAAAGAACAGGAGTACTTGTGGCACCTTAGAGA